CCTTCTATGAGTGAGTACATACCATATTTGTCTTTCTGAGTCTGGGTTACCTCACTCAGGATGATTTTTGTCTTATGGGTATTTTGCTGGTATATCTTGGTTTCCCTTTTTGTGAGTTTTTGTCTGTGTGCTTCTTGTTTTTTGCTTTGTTTTGTTTATTTTTAAAGAGAGAGTAGAGAAAGGGAATGGAACTGGGTGTGTAGGGAGGTGGAGAGGGTCCAGGAGGAGCTAGTAGAGAGGAAAGTAATAATCAGAATATATTTTTATGAAAAATAAAATTTTCAACAAAAATAAAAAGATATTAAAAACTTTAGCACTGACACACTGAGACATCATCCATCCCAATAGCCTTTGTGATCACCTACTGTATTTCTATAACACTTGGTATTCTAAATATAGCTTGTCATTTTAAAGGTCATATAAATAAAAAAAAACATTTGGTGTATAGAATTTTTTCACTTTGCAAACACCTATCATTCATCCATATTATTGTGTGTCTTATTGGTTTGATATTGGTTTGTTTGTAAAGGTCTTAACACAGCCAGGTTGGCCCTGAACATTTTGCATAGGTGAAGATAACCTGAACATATAATCATTTTACCTCTCAACTCACTGCTTGGATGGATGACAGGCATGTTCCACGATGCTCATCTCAGCTTATTTTATTGTTATGCAGTTTTCCATTGCAAATCAGAAGTCATTCATCTGCTCAGCCATTCAAAAATATGTGCTTTAAAATGATAATAGCAACATTTATTGAAGAATGTCATGTTCTGGGAGGTTTTAGATCTTCTATTTTTGTTAACATATTTAATAACCACAACAATAGTATTTAAGAGCTAGAGATTAGAGAAATAATTTCCTAGTGAATTAGATGTGTGATTCTCACTTGGTATGATATTACTGAATTTATTATTAATTTACTAAAATTACTTTATAAGTATATATGGGTAGGGAACATTTGTTTGTGCAAGTATGCTTTTGTATGTGGGTACATGCATGTACTTTCATGTAGAGGCCAGTGGACAACCTCATCTGTCATTCCTCTAACGCCATCGACATAGTTTTTGAGAATCTCTCACTAGCTTGGAACTCTTCAAGTAAGTCCCTGCCTCCCTGGCACTGGGAATTCAAATGTGTATCATCATGCACAGCTTCTTTTTACTCGGGTTCTAGTGTTCCAACTCAGATCCTCATGCTTGTAAGGCAGCAAATCCTTTACCAACTGAGCTGTCACTGAAGTTAGCCCTAATGGATTTTAGGACAGTTTATAGGAATAATGTCCACCTCCCATTCCACTTTTTGTATCAATAGCAATAAAATGATTTAGCATTAAACAAGTCTCAAAAGATATCCAGTTCATTCTCCTCATATTAAAAAGTTAGAAAAGCATCCAGTTCTGAGTCCATATGGTGGCTTCCTGACAAATCCAGACAAAGGACGAGTTCCAGCTAAGAGGTCCATTCAGCAAGTGTAAACTATTTGAAGTATAACAGTCTAAATACATCAAACTTCATGTTCCTACAGTACTAAGCACTACATCTAAGTTCATTTTCCTTTGTGGAACTAGTATATATTTGTCCTGCTTGCTCTTCATCTCGATTAATTATGAATATTCTGATACAATCATAAGTAATCAAAAGAAGCCTGTATGAACTAGAACATAATACTTTCCTGATTAAAAACAAAACAAAACTGTAACCATATTGAAAGCATAGGGCCAGTGTCACATTCACTACCGAACTCAAAATCCCGGGACAAGTGTTTGAGTTATCACATTATCAATGAGCACTCCACTACTTATCATCATCATCTAATATCTACATCATCTACTTACCTATCTGCAATCTATCATTTGCCATCTTTAATGATGTATGCATTATTGTGAATAATATATTACTTAGTTTTATTTGAAACAAATTTTATGTTACAGTATCATCATGAAAATCCTCAAGGGCCCAGGTAGATGGATTGATTGGTAAAATGATTGCTCCATTCCCCAGAACCTTGTAAAAAGCCAGATGTGGTTGTATCTGTACCTGTAAATGCTGGTGAGGTGGATATAAGGAGGACTCCTAGTGTTTGCTATCCAGCTAGTCTTGCTGAATTAATGAGCTCTTGGTTGAGTGGTAGTCCTTTCTTGGACCAGTAAGGTATGGGGGAAGACACTTGACATTGACCTCTGGCCAACACATGCACACATACAATTATATGTGCCTCTACTTGTACATGAGCATGCATACACACACACACATATAATAGATAGATAGATAGATAGATAGATAGATAGATAGATAGATAGATAGATACACACATACACACATGAAGACTTGATTCAGAAGAAATTCTCTATTAACAAGGTACTCACATCATTCTTGATAATTTCTCCTATAGCTATAAAAATTGTTCAATGCATGAATCACATTTTTCATACTGGCTATCCAAGTTTAGAAGAAATTTTGTGACCATCAATTAACATCGTATTACAATAGAGCTGACTTTTTATATTGAATTCAAAATGCATCTTCCTATTATTTTTCTGTTCCTGAGAGCAGACAGCCATGTCCTATGCATTGTAATGAATCATTGACATGTTTCTAAAACAAAGAGTGTTGAAAAAAAAATCCAGGTAGGCTAAGACTAAGAAAGAAAGACAGGTAAAGTTGTGGGCAGGAAGCGACTGGTGATGAAAGATTCCAAGTAGGTTGCAAAAGTGGGGCCAAAATAAAATGTGTATGTCTTGTTTATCACCTTGCAAGACTTCAAAAATAGTCTATATTATATTGCATGTTGTATATAAACAACATGTAGCAAAACCATGCCACATGATCCTCAGGTGAATAAAAACTTAAAACTAACTTCCCAAATCAAAATTATGAGGAATATTAGAAAATTAGAGACTGATGAGATATATAAACCTAGCTAATTTGTTTTAATTTCTGAAAGTACATCAGGTTAGCACTTGGGCAGGCTAAAATAAATGCAGAACCCTTCTTGAATTCTGCACTTTTCTTCTATTGCTATGGCTAAATTATCACTTTAAGTGATCAATCTTTGGGAACTGGTGAGTACTATGTATTGATGTGTGTGTGTGTGTGTGTGTGTGTGTGTGTGTGTGTGTGTGTGTGTGCGCGCACAATAATCTTAAGCATGCATTAGTGGCACACATACCGAGGTGGTAACCAACAGGTCTCTAATTGAATTTAAGACTCGCTCAACAAAAGGATGATGATGACAGATACTGGAAACCTAGACAATTACTCAGTGCTAGTCTAGTCATTGTTATTGAAGAATCTACAACCACTAATTTATGATCTTTTCTTAGAGTTTTCACTTATTTGCTTCAAAAGCAACAGATATACACATATGATGTGTTACAGAATACATAATATACATTGAAATATGAGCATTATCATCCCATGGCAATCCTTGCTTTGAATCATGAGGTATTTGTTTCAAAGCATTTTCTAAAGGCCATTTAACTTTATAGTTGAATTATACTAGCTTTATGTAATCTGTGCAACCTGAAGTTTATTTTATATTTTAAAATAAAATCTGAACATGCACTTGGCAAATGCCATTATATATTGATTTTAGTAAGTTTTAAAGTCATGACTTGCTTTTATCTTTGTATCATAATTTAAATAGTAATTATATAACAACAAAATCCTCAGTTATGTTGAAAAATGCTCCTCCTTTCATTGGTGGATTAGAACAACAGGGCTTAGCTCACTGATTTGCCTAAAGCTGAGTCTCTATAAAGTAGTGAATGAAAACAGAGCCTGCATTCTTAAGGATTAAAAAAAATAGATTAAGCTCAAGAGTAATATTTAGACTTTAAGTAGCTATACAGCAAAGTGGTTTTAAATTTAATTTGGAGTACATTTTTCTTTCAAAAGAATGTGCTAAACCATGAAGACCTTTTGCCTGTACTTAAGTAATTTTATTCTAAAATAGTACTTATATAAATACATTTTTGCTGGCTTTAAGTAAAATGGTGCTTTTCTACATAATGAGACTCAAATGCCTGTTAATTAAAATACCCCAACATCTCTGTATTTATTAAACATAGTAAGGTAGTCTCATCTAGCACATGAGTCAAGAGGAACAAAAGCATATACAAATTGAAAATTACACTGCCACCATGGGCACATGGAATGATACAGAGGTGACTCTTTTCCTGCTAACTCTACCCAGAACTGCTGGAATACATAAGTCCAGCACAGTTGTGGGGCATGATGTTAACATACAAAACCAGCACTGTTTCTACATGGCAGTACTGAATTATCTGAAACAGAAATTAAGAAAGCAAGTTGATTTACTACAGTTACCATATTTTGACAGTTTCTGTTTGGTTTTTTGAGACAGGGTTTCTTTGTGTAGCTTTGGCGCCTTTCCTGGAACTCACTCTGTAGCCCAGGCTGGCCTTGAACTCACAGAGATTCGCCTACCTCTGCCTCCCAATGCTGGGATTAAAGGCATGCTCTTACAGAGATTGTAAAGTCACTATTATTAAAATGAGTAGCTGTCACCAGTTTACAAAGCCTATGGCTATAGGTGTGTTCATTCTTTAGAGGCCTGTTACTTCACTATTTTAGATTAGTTTTCATCAGAGGCAATGTATAATTAGACTGAAGCAAAAAATTACAGAATTTTTAAATTTTGCAATACAATTTTAAAACTTAAGTTTTTAAAATTTTGTAAAAATGCAAAAAATTAAATTTTGTAATAAAATTTAAACATTTTGTAATGAAACTTAAAAATTTAAATTTTGTAATAAATTTTTTAAATTTTATGATAAAATTCTAAAATTTTTAAAATTTAAAAAGTCACATCTCCACAATTAGACAAAATTTGGCAATTATGTGAATATGAAGCAAAGTTAAATATGCCTAACTTGTAAGTACTCCATCTCATACTGAGGAAATATTATCTTTCCTACATTAATAAGAAATTAAATAAAACAGATAAGTTACAGATTTTCAGTTAAGAACATTATTTATTTTTCATTTATGTTTTTATTAAAAAATTAACATATTACAAATCATCTTCCAAATTATACACATAAATAAAAGAAAGTAAACAAGTAAATATACAACTCAGATAAACATTAATAAGAGCAGCCTTTTACAATTATTCCTTAAAAGCAGAAATAGACCTGGTTCTTTTTTACAATTTAAACAATTAGATGGGCTAATTCACAAAAACAAATACCTTATAAAAGAAGATTTATAATGTTATAATCCAAACATTACACATATCATATCTTTAAGTTGACTGATTTCAAACATTCAGATTTTTTAAAGTAAAAACTGGATCATTTGATTAAATTTACTTGTAATCACTGCAATCCCAGCTGCGTTTCCAGTCAGACAGCAGAGGTAGACCTAAGGAACATCTGGGGGGGGGAAGATGCTCTGAAGGCCTTACTCTAACAAGCGTTAGCAATAACTGCTAATATAGCTGTCCCTCAGAACTAGTGTGGAACTGGCTCCATGATCCAGAGATAAAATGGCTGAAAATGCTCAGGTCCTTTGAAAAAGTGGAACAGTACTTGAATATACCCTAGAACGATCCTCAGGTACACACCTAATGCCCTCAGCTTATTTATAATACATAGAATAATGTAAATTGTGATTATACTGTATGGCTTACATAAATAAAACACCCTGAACATGGTTGTTATATACAAATGGATTTTTTCTTCTCACAGAGTATTTCTGATCTTAGTTGGTTGAATATTTGGTTGCGGAAACCAGAGGGGTGACTCTGTTTATTTATATAATTGTCAACTAATAAGTTTTATGAAAAGATACTTCAGTCATTTGTTAGAGTGATTCTGTTGAGAATTTAATTTTAAATTAAATTCTGACTGAGTGCTATCGATAGGTGGAGATGGACCGGCAACAGCAGGAGCTAGAGCAAGCTGTCTGGAGTGGGAATTGAACTCTTACTGACAATTGTTTGGCCTTAGTTTTGTACTTTCCCTTAATCTCAGAATTGTTTCATAAAATTCATTTTCTGTCATGGCAGATTCAAATATAAAATGCAACATAAGGAATGAAGAAAACAACATACGCTATACAATATTATGTATTGATTATTCATTTCTAATGTAGTAGCAAAAAACCTGCAGGTTTTATTTCTATTTATTCCAATGGAGAAACTTGGTAATATTAAATATTACTATATTATTATTCTTAGAATTTATCCTGGAAAATATCAGATTATTCTCATAATTTTCTATGGCCTAATAATTCTCTATCAATAGAAATTTTTAATTTTATACATAAGGTTACTATAACTCTTCAAAGAGTTTATTCCAAAAGCATTATTTAAAAAATAAGTTTAAAACATTTCTCTGTGTGTCTGCAAACATTCATAAGTAACTGTGGGACTAAATGTGACATGGAGTGGCTCCATGGAGTGTGTTGCTCCTTCCTCCCACCATTTTTGATACAGGCTCTTGCTTGCTGCTGGCTTAAATACTTTGGGGCTCGTTCCTGTGGACACTGTCCAGCTCTCTGCAGGAGCAGTGGAAGAACACGTCTGCTGGCGAGCTCATCTTCATGTGCTCTGGGTGTGCAGATGCAGGGCCTCATGCTTACAGAGAAAGCATTTTACTCGCCCATCAGTCTCCCTCCCCCGAAAAATGTCTCCTCTCTGCTATGTATTCTATGATAACTTCCAGAACCAATCTGTTTCTGAATGTCTTTATCCTCTGGAGATTGGGTGTGCAGTACTTGTTAACATGACTCAACTGACTCACTCTCTCAGTAGAACTAAGAAATAACACTTGTGTAAAACTAGGTAGACTAGCTGTTTTTTTCTATTACAATTATAAATATTTAATTCAGCAGGTTTTTACTATTTTTCATTTTTAAAATAATTTATTTTTAGCATAAAAGTTATCAATTTGTAACCGTATGACAGCTATGGATCACTGACAATTTCTTTTTAACCCAATAGACAACGTAAAAGTGTAAGACTTTCATATGAGCACATAACTCAAAAAACATGGTGTTACTTTAAAAATAATTTTGGATCTATCTCTAGTTTTGAAGTGGTAAGTAAATTTTCTCTATTATTTACAATAAAATTAAATTAAAAGGAAAACAATTCTAATATTAACATTATCCTTTCTTAGTTCAGTAGTCTCTGGTGAACATTAAATTTTAAGATATGAATAAGAAAACGAGACCTAGAAAGACTGACAAAATGCCCTCAAAACAGAGTATGTGAACACAGTAAACCTTCTGACTGAGAAACAACGGTTTCCTCATAGCTGAGAAACAGTCACTAACATTTACCAAGCTTCCTCCTAAGGTTCCTAGTCTTTAATTCAGCAGAGCGAACCATGGGCATTACACACACAAAGGCACTCTGTACCGTGGGCACGTGAGTCTTCAAATGATGACACTACAGATGCTGTGCACAAAGCCCGTCTTTAACAGAACACGGTGAACAGTGAGACTAAAAAAATACAATAGAATAGCCTGTAATTTAAACAAGTCTGTGTTCACAAGAAACTTGAGAAGTGAATTTGATCACCGGGGAAGCCAGCCAGAAACTGGATACAAATTTCCGAGTCACTGAAGTGTTCAGAAATGAAGCACATCTGTCTATTGTCCTTAGGTCTGTATTTTTTTTTTCTTTTTTTTCTGGCTTTTCACAACAGGGTTTCTCTGTGTAGCTTTGGAGCCTGTTCTGGTACTCGCTCTGTAGATCACGCTGGCCTCGAACTCAGAGATCCGTTTGCCTCTGCCTCCAGAGTGCTGGGATTAAAGGTGTGAGCCACCACCACCTGAAGGTAGGTCTGTATTTTTGTTGTCAGATGTACCTGACACGTACGCACTCCTATGTCTTTGGACCCAGAATACAAGTACAGCTGACTTGTGCGTTAGATGGTTTATGTAATGCAAGCATTTTCTCTACTGTGAAACAAAAACCTAAAGGCAATTCCATTAAAACTTCAATTGCAGTCAGAAATTCAGAAAATTATGCAATCAGGAATGTTACCAACATGACTTTTCTCATCAAATGTTTTCTTTGTACAGTACTGTCCATTGTAGGACAAATAATATAATTTTTTTAAAGAATAAAAATGAAATAATTGATAAAGGTAACAGTAGCAAGTGCTCATTGATTTTTGATAGTTTTCTCTCCATAACATAAAACACAAGGCGTTTACTGAAGCTAGACGATTTGATAGACTCTAAGTGAGACATTACAAGGCAGGCAGCTGTTGATCCAATGAATATGTCATTCTTTCCTTACTGTATTTCTCAGACCACTTTCGTGTTAGTTCTAGATAGTAGCTTGGCTTATGAGGCCGGTAATCCAGGTACACTGTGTTAGTGGTTCTTTTGGGGACAGCCTTTTCAATTTGAGTTCCTTCATGCCACTCATTGAAAGAGGTGATGGAAATTAAACTGGGGTGAGTCTGGAGTGCAGCACTTAGACCAACTTCATAATACTTCCCGTTGATGCGGTTTCTAGTGTTCTGAGTGTTCCATGGACGGATGCTTGTATCTATGTATCCTGGGCCTACACTTGGGATAAATATCAAGTTGTTCTTATCACAAAATGATTTCAGGTTAGCCCAATTCTGATGTGATGAGCCATATGTAAAACCATTCGTAGCAAAGTATGTGTAAATTCCATCAAATCCACTTTGAAGAATATCATATTTATGCTTTTCTTCTACTAAAAGTGCAATAAACAATCCATCATAAGGAGAACTGCGAACACTCCGAGATCCTGAAGGTGTTAACAGATTGGCCCACACTTTAGGCTTCGTGATATAGGAATCATAGACATAAAACATAGGCAGAGAATGCCCGGTCCTTGTCTTGTATCTATAAAAGGCTGGATGGCTTCCATATCTACAACAGAGACACATTGAAAAGTGAGACGAACACTCAGAATATGTCAGAATAAAATTGCACTGAAACTGAAAATGATTCGTGAAGCTTAAGCACATCGTTTCCAATCTTCAGTTAGTCAGTTATGTAAGAATAGTAATACTAATGCAAACATACTTTTAATATTGTACATTATAAGACACTGGTATACTACCAAACAGGAGGTTAATTATCTCATGCCAAAGTTAACAAATGGAGGCTAAAATCATAAAAGTCCATTATGAGCTACAAAAACAGAAAAACCAGTTTATCTTATCAGTGGCAGGTGTCTATTTGTTGCTGACATGATTCTTTGTAAAATGAAATACCTCAGAGAATCTTATCATTAAAATACTTCATCAGAATGAAACTAATTACAAAATTCTTTATTTTAGTCATTCTAGAAACAAGTGATGACAGATATGCAAACACTGCTATGAAATTAGTTCACATTTCGTCTGAACCTTTCTTTAAAAGACAAAAGTGTAGGCCGGGCGGTGGTGGCGCACGCCTTTAATCCCAGCACTTGGGAGGCAGAGCCAGGTGGATCTCTGTGAGTTCGAGGCCAGCCTGGGCTACCAAGTGAGTCCCAGGAAAGGCGCAAAGCTACACAGAGAAACCCTGTCTCGAAAAACCAAAAAAAAAAAAAAAAAAAAAAAAAAAAAAAAAAAGACAAAAGTGTATACTCACAAGATTTTAAAAACAGAAATGTAAAATGAGCATGGAAGGAAATAAGTAGCCTTTAAAATATAAAAAAAAATAGCTAAAGTAGCAACCTTTATTCATGCAAAAACTGAACTGTAAAAAACCTGAGAATGTTCTTCAGCTTACTTTGTGGTAAACTTATCAGAAATGACAGATCATAAACCAACTCTCAGTTATTACTTCAATGTACTTGTAACAGTGGTTATCACCAAATCATACAGTATAACTATGAACATTGAAAAAACTCACTTGTCTATAATATATTTGACATTTTTATACATGTTTTGATCATCTCGATTGCTATATGGCTCTATGTGAAAAGTGACCTAAAAAAAAAGAAGAAAAAAATCAATTAAAGAAAGCATTATCTATGAAAGTATATTTTGCATAGTTAATAAGTTGCCAATTCAACAATATTAAGGTGAATATTTAGAGAGCCCAGTGATTACAAAATAAATCTTAGTAGATAATACTGAGTTTTCAGTACTAAATGTAAGGGAAGCATTTCATATGCATTAACTCAGCCTGCTTTACTACATTAGGTAGCCGCTGACTCTATTTTCTAAATAAAGAAGTGGGCATAGGTCTAGTAAATTGCCAATAGCTCGCCAGTTTGTTGGATACAATGTGTGGTATAGGATTGAAAGCTTTTCCAGGAGGTTATTTTTCATGACATAGATTGCAAAGGCTATATTCTTTATAAGACATAAGAATATACTCTGTATTCAGACATAGCATTCTAAAAAAAAAAAAAAAAAAAAAGGGGGGGGGGACTCCAAAATGTTCAGGTTTCAAATTAATATGCAATTTTTTCTTATGTATATGACCATTACATTTATACTTATATAGAAACAACAAAATATTCAATTAATTGATAGCTTACTATCATTAGAAGGGGATCTTTGAGTATGTACTTTTAATATTCAAAGAATTTATAAGAAAATATTTAGAAAATAATATCTAAAAGCTTTACAGAGCACAGTGATTTTCATATTGCTACTGTTAAGGCCCATCTATAACTACTGTAATAATAGAAATCACAAACTATCATACACAGATTTAAAATTCCTACCTACAAATATCAGTTGTACATAATCAAGTTTAATAAATTATGTCTAATAAACGTTTTGCTTTGTACTCTATCTCCATCTACAAAGATATACAGCATAGGGAATAAAGTAACTTACGTGATGCTCATAAAAATTATTCTTAAATTCACTGTTATCCATATCAAGTACATTTTATTACTAATCTAGTAAAATTAATTACTGTTTGAATCTTACATTTTAAGTGTGATATTGCCTGTTTGACAAGACTTCTAAGCACTGCAGCTTAAATCTTGTGTTTTTGTCAATTACTCAATTAAAGCAAAATGTATTTTCATTAATTAATTTACACAAAATTAATTTTCAAGTTGGGTCATTTAGTAAATCAATCATTGTCTACTTTAGAGAGCACGATGATATAATGTTCTGTCAGTAACAAACTCAGGTCGAGACGTCCTTGCAATCTGCTTCCAAACCTGCAGGCCATAAACGGTCAGCTTCTTCCATCAAGTGCAGATCCACATACTGCAGCAAATTCAGTCATATACTTAGAACTTCTCAACTAATCAATTCAATTTATAGTTTATTTTTAATTAATGACAGGATTTGGTCACTATTTCTCTCTTCCCTTCAGAAAAATCTATTACATTAACATTAAAATGAATTTAAAATGACACAATTTGATGCATAAAATTAAATGTGTGCATAACTTTTTGAGAAAATGAGTCATGTTAAGAATTCCATCTCACCCTTCTGATTTTGTCTTTACCAAAATTCTTCTGAACTCTGTAGCCAAACACTTTCTTCCTTAATTCCCCTACCCCTTGACTTTACCGGGTACCACCCTTTAAGTCATACATGAGTGAGGCAATTCCTGGTAGTGTCAAATATTTTGCAATTTTCTCCTTCTACAACTCACTTGTTTGGTTTTGGCCTTCAGTAGACTGCAAATTGACTTAATATGAGACATCAAATCTGGTTCTTTCTCTTTTGTTTTATTTTGATATGGTTGGCTTTGAAGCCCGCTCCTTTTGCTCTACCTTTCACCTACGATTACAGGTGTGTACAAACATGTCCAGCTCTCTTTCTTAATACTGTTCATACATAGAACAGAACCTGCTGCAGAGTAAATACTGCATGAGTATCTGCAAGCATGAATTAACAAGTTCTATACAAAACTACCCAACAGTCAAATTGAACTCTAAGTGGTCTACTTACCCCCCATTAAGGCAAGATCTGCCAAGTTCTCACTGTGAACACATATTCCTCATTTAAGAAACGTAACTGCTTACAAACCATTAGTATTAAACAAATGATTTATGCAAAGGTTATAAAACTTGTTACTTTAAAATAAAATTTTAAATTTATTGAAATACAAGGTGTTTGTTTTGCTTATAATTGTAGAAGAAAGAAGTGATAGCTCCAACTGATTTTATGTTGTTAGGTCTTTGCTTTCTTTGAGATCTGATACCATGATGATGTTGTCTAACACACACCCCCACAATTTTTAACTTTCAATTTTATTTGATGTACATGAAGTCTGCGTATTACTGTGATGGCTTTGCTCTAAGCTGTGGATCAAGTTTAAATAAGTTCCACAGGTTTGGTCATTTGGGTCCTAGGGAAGGGTGGAGTTTCTTCTCACAAAAACAAACAAACAAAAGAGAAGCACAACCATGAATACATGTAGCATCCTTAGTGGAAGCAGGCCAGGCAGAAAACCTGACATCAACTGGACAGGAAACACTCACACTTTCTAAGAAAGAAAAGAAAATAGAACTGTGCTCAACAGTGGCAGCATCTACCAATCAGCTCCACCACATGTCCTATAAAAGGCTGCTTGAACGTTTTTTTCTTAGGATGCTATATAGAGAAGACAGTGAGCTGAAAGGATCCAGCTCTGATCCTTATAACTGTGGCTTAAGTAGCCTCTGGAATGCCAGTTACAAGTGAGTCATGTGTATGCTCCAAGAAATAATACAAACATATACACAAAAATTTATCTTTGAAAAAACAAGTCACCACTTAGAATTAGATTTTACTGATTTGAGTCAACCTTTGCAAACAGTAATACAAAAGAAGTCACTAATTCTTCATACTTGTTTTATTAACTTTGCTTCTTTGTTTACAATTAAAAACGCTCACCTAAAATTACTTTTAGTTTAAATTAATCAAAATTTCAGTTACAAATTTAGTGACTAATGCTATTGTGTAATCAAAGCTAGTAGGCTATAGCAAAAGCTTAACTGTAAGACAAAGCAATGACCTAGAAACTCTATTTCTAAACAAGTAATAACAAAAGTGAAGGAAATCCCTTTTTACATTCCAAAAGAAAGAGAACTGTAAAATCAACCCAACCAAAAGAGTCAGAAACATATTTGTAAAGGATAACATCAAATTAATATAGTATAATCATTTTCAAAATAAGTTTGGTAAGTTTAAGAGCTACTGAGGGTAAGCAATCATTGTTCACTGGAAAATCTGAACATTTGCAAGAAAAAAATGGAGAACAGTATTTTATCAAATTCCATCTCTTCTGGTCATTAAATATCAAATCTAAAGTATGGAGAGAACACATATGTTGCTCGTATTTACAGAGACAATTAATGGCTGAGATCTTTGCTACTTTCCTGTTCCACGTAAAGATTTTCAGTAGAATTAAAAGCAGTCTATTTTCATGCAGCTTGATATTTTTAACTACTTTACCTTTAAAAACCCCATTAAAAGAAAATGTCTAGTTTTGTTACCTCCCACTACAGAACTGGGGCATAGAGGTCTTGGATTTACTTTGTGTGAAATATATCAATCACTTATTCAACCTCAGCTGTGGTTCCCGAACTTGAAGATTTGACTATCTGCAGACTCCAAATGCCTATGAGAACTCAATGAATGGTACTGTGGAGCATGTTATGTGGCAGTTCCTGTCAGTTCATTTGAGAGACACTATCTCAAGACTTTCTTTAGGGCTACAGAAATATTCAAGTTAGTTTTATACAAAAAAAAATGCCAGACTATAATATAAACTACAAAAGAAAATCCTTCCTCCTCCTACTCTGGATCCACAAAAAGGTAAATTTCTAGAAGCAAAGACAGAAAAAAAATTTATTTTTTTTAAAGAACAGACCAACAAACTGCATGAAGCAGATTTTGGGAAATTACCCTTGGCCTCTAGCCTAAGATCTCACATACTATGTTGGAGCAAGTAGGGAGAAGGTATAAGCAATTAAATATATTGCTAGGAAGCAGAGAAAACAGTACATACCCATGTCTCCAAACTCCAACCCCATGAGAGGAGACCCAGAGAACCTCAGAACCCCTCATGGGAGTTCATCTGATCTAAAACTCTGTGGAACAAACAAAGTCATATTAAGACCACTGACACAGGCAGGCTGAGCCTCAGTAGGATGAACATTGTTAGCCGGAAAGGGACACAGGAATGGGGTGGGACAGGAAGCACTGAAATCCATGCAAGGTTAGTGAGACCACCAATCACACTTGGAAAAAGGGAACTGCCTTGGGCAACAACATCCCATGCCAAGGGTTGGAAGACATCGGAGGCAGGCTGAACTTTGTTTGTGAAACCAAGGCAGAAATTCAACCCCACAGGTAAACTTATGGATCCCCACTGATGAGACCCTGCACAGTCAGATAAGAACTGCACATAAATGTAAACTGCTCTCTCACCAGCAAAGTTAAATTAATAAGACTTCTCAGGCAGGAGAGGGCTTTTCCTGATGCTCTAATCAAGGAAGCAATTTAAACTGGTATTTTTATTTTATTTTAATTATTTTTAAATCTCCATTCTTGCATAAATAATTGTCTTTTATATTGCTCTATTAGATTTAACACTCTTTCCACTGTGTCTTTTCAAGTATTTCCCTAACCTACAACCCATATACTTTCCCTTATTCCTACTTCATTTTATCTTTTTCTCTCCCACCCACGCCCTCCTCTAAAATTACAATTTTCTAATGCCAATAATCTTTAGGGTCTCTGTTCCCTAACACTTTCCCGATTCCTCTACTTACTATTTTATATGAATTCCTAGTCATATTCAATTTATTGTCTTCCCATACCTATGTTTGGTAGGTAATATCCTAGCAAATACTTATTATCCTTGTTCCTTTATTCCCTAATGGTCACTGGACTTAACGGAGATAGTTGTTTTTAACTATGACTGAGTTTTCACAGTATGTCTCCTCACCAGTGGAGTTTCTCCTGAAATAGTCTATTGGAGTTGAGCTGGATATTACCCTTCCTGCCTCCTGAACACGTGAGCA